CAACGTGATTCTAGGCTGCGTTAATAGAGGTATTATTCTCAAAGGCTTTGCTTTATACTTTATACTTTGTCAAGGAAAGTAATAATGCCACTCTATTCTGCTTTGGTCAGGCCTCACCTGGAATAATCTTATGTTCAGTTCTGGGCACCACAGTTCAAAAAGGATGTTGCGAAGCTGGAGGGTGACCAAAATGGTGAAAGGTCTGGAAACCATAAATCCCTACGAGGAGTGGCTTAGGGAGCTGGATATGTTTAGCCTGGGAAAGAAAAGGTTAAAGGGTGACATGATGATGACCCTGTTTAATTATTATTATTATTATTATTATTATTATTATTATTATTATTATTATTATTATTATTAATATCCTATGTGAAGTCGTAGACTTTCATGGCTGGCATCCATAGTTTTTTGTGGGTTTTTCGGGCTGTGCAGCCATGTTCTAGAAGAGTTTCTTTCTGACGTTTTGCCAGCATCTGTCCCTCTGCAAATACAATCGGGGCAGCTTACAACAATAGATTTAAAGATTTAAATTTAAATTTAAAGATTAAAGATTTGAAGGGGTATCATATGGAGGATGGAGCAAGCTTGTTTTCTGCAGTTCCAGAAACTAGGATTGCCTTAGTCCAAAAATCAAGCCATTATGCCATGCTGGCTCTCAAAAGGGAATATAAAGCGGGACAGGGGAAAATAATTTCATGGTTTCTTTGCTCCAACCATAGGCCACTTTTGAAATGGTAAATGCAGTCTGACCTGAATCCTGGGAGTAGGGTGGAACAAATTGGACAAAGAATTTAACAAGTCTACCACTCTCTTCCATTCCAGCATTCTCTGAAGATGCCAGCCACAGATGCTGGCAAAACGTCAGAAAGAAACTCTTCTAGAACATGGCCACACAGCTCGGAAAAAAACCACAAAAAACCTATGGATGCCGGCCATGAAAGCCTACGACTTCACAAATTCAGGCTTGTTCTTCCTTCCTCCACCCACCCCTAATATAAAAGGTAAGATACCTTTGCAACACAGGCCATGGCCTCATTCCAGGGAAACCACAGGTCACTGTAAAACAAATTGTCAAGCTGTGAGGTGGAAAATTGATAGAAGACATTGGCCGACATTTTGCATCATAGAGGCAATTGCAACTTTACACTCATGGAGTTATGGGGCAGTTCTGCAGTGTTGTAAACAATGACATTATGCCACTCGATGGACATGGTGCATTGATGTCTATATGTGATGTGCCTCAATAGGCAGCAATGCATGTCAATACACAATGCTCACCAATGTGTCAGTCAATCAGTCCGTCTGTTGTCACCCAGGTGCAATGGCGCCAAGTGCAAACACTGCTTCTGCACCTGAAACATTACCATATCTGTTGCCGAATAGTACAAAAGTTTGATCTGCGGACATAAATCAATTTATACCTGCATACGTCAGCAACAAGATGCTGTCTTATTTCAGAACTAGCCAAAAAAGGCAAATGTGCTTGCATGGAATTCCCATTCTCACCACCATCCCCTCTGCGTAGCCAATGATATCATGGTTCACTGAGACACAGTCTAAAAGAAAAACCCATTTCTAGGCACCACAGTTCAAGAAAGATATGTCCAGAGGAGGACAACCAAGTTGGGAAAAGGTCTGGAAACCAAGCCCTATGGGGAACAGTTTAAGTGTATGTGTTGTGTGCCTTCAAGTCATTTCTGACTTAGGGCAACCCTAAGGGGGTTTTATATCCCCTATCATGGGTTTTTCTTGACAAGATTAGTTCAGAGGAGGTTTGCCATTGCCTTCCCCTGAGGCTGAGAGAGTGTGACTCGCTCAAGGTCACCCAGTGGGTTTCATGGTCAAGCTGGGAGTTGAACCCTGGTTTCCAGAGTCATAAAGTCATAAAGCCTTTAGTTAGCTATTCTTTCTCCCTTTTGTGTTGCTGCTATTGCCATTGTGATTGCTTTTTGCTCTGTGTTGTGATTTATTTTAATATGCTTTTAAATTGCCTAAGTTTAATATCTTTTTAAGGGGGGGTGGTTTTTTGGGTTTGTATGCCTTTTATTGTCGTTTTGATGTTGTAAGCCGCCCTGATTGCGGTTGCAGAGGGGCAGGATATAAATAAATTTTATTATTTATTATTATAATTATTTATAAACTGATGTTCAGTCCATTATGCCACGCTGGCTCTCATGCAGCTCGCATCCTGTGAAACCAAAGAGGAACAACTTTGATGCATCTCTGTGGATTCAAGCCACAGATTGCCACTGTCTTATAGGAAGGAAAAAAACCCGAGACATTTAGGGCTTAGCCGTATCATAAAAATCTCATCGCTGCTGTATTTATAATCCAGATGTCTCAGTTGAGATCCTCAAGTGACATATAATTTTTGAAGAAAACACACCTCCACACACCTAAATCTACAAGCGCTCTGTTTGTTTTGTCTTTCCCTCCCTAATTTATTACAGCTTCTTTAATTTTTTTATTTCTTCCCTCCTCCACTGAAAGCCAGCATGAAATAAATGCCTCTTTTTAGTAGAAAGCTCAAAGGCTTTCAACAAGATGGTCCACAGCTGCTTGGATCTCTCATTTTTAAAATAATAATAATAATAATAATAATAATAATAATAATAATAATAATAATAATAAATTATGCCGCGAAAACCTTCTCTCTATGTTCTCGGTGTTTGTTTAAGTTTTGGGATGATCAGGAACTACCATTAGACAGGATGGCTTCTATCTGCTCATTTCACCCCTTGGCAAGGTTTCATTTATCTCTGGCTTTCCACCAAACAAAAAAAGGAGTAGGAATGGAGTCTGTTTCAAGAGAAGAGATATAGATGAGAGAGAGAGAGAAAAAGAGAGGGATAGGTTTACTTTGCAGCAAGAGAAGCTCAATAGTTAATGCT